TCAAGAACCCATACGACAAGGCCAATAATGAAAAAGGACAAAAGGCTGATTACCCAAAGTTCAAATGTCAGAGGCGTCAAAAAGATGATACTGTTTCTTTTAACACTTTCTTCAACAGGGACGACCACACCTATACTAGATGGTGTGTATGGTAATGAGAAGTCAACATACAGTGACCTATTTGCCGATATTGTTGTATCTGCCACCAGAGCATCATATTCAAGCTGCAAACATATAGAACAAAGAGTAATTAAGGACGTTATGATCGACAATCCAGTTTAGTTATCAGGTTAGGCATAAAGAGAAACACATGGTCGGTATACTTCACCCCGAGATACACTTGGTAGATTGCGATGTCATAATTTACATATTCGAAAGGAATAAAGTCATAGGAGACATCATAGGACATTGCTTGAATTACAGCCTCAAAGTAGTCGATGCAGAATCCACTGAAGATTGTTGTATTGGTGATGGGATCTCTTGTAGCCTTCACAAATTGCTTGAAGCTGTTATTAGCTGGGACTCCAATCCGCAGCCTTTTTCCATTTGTCGGTATCTCCCATCCTTTGGGTAAGGACGTAGTGTCTCCAGGCCAAATAATTGGTCTGAGTCGATCTTGCCAAGTAGAGGAAGTGGTCGTAGTAGCTGGTTTTTGGTCCAAGTTTTTTAAGAGTCCATGTTCTTTCTTCCAGAATCCTATGGTCCTTACTCCATGCCCATTCACATTAACAATCTCAAATACTGACGGCTGCAGTTGTCCATTAATAAATTGGAAGTCGCCAGCAAGACCTTTAAACCGAACTCTAGAGAGTGTCTGAAGAAGTTTTGGACCATATTGAGATACACCTAGACCTTCAAGTTCAGACATATTATTCCTCATGGCATCTTTCTTGATAAAATTCAAATTTGATGTCCCAGCTTCTTCAATGGCCAATGCTAGTGCAGTAGTGGCATCATAAGCACACAGTCCATACACACCCAGGTCAGAGATTGGGAAGCTCTTCTTCCATCGAGATTTAAATGTCTCAAGCTCTTCGGATCTCGGAAAGTAAGTCTTTACACCCAAGACCCCTTGCATTGTTTCCATCTCCTTCTCATTCATGGTACTTAGATTATCGGTAATGGAGTTGGTGAGGATCCAGACATATCCTTGTTTCATCATACCAATTTCCTTAACTTTGGCGAAAAATCTTGAGCCAAACAACGCAGCAATGTGGACAACAAATACTCTAGTGGGTAGAGTCATCATCCTGAGAAGTTCCACGGAGATTTCATCATCCGTGGCATTGGGAGAAATCACGGTCCTATAAGGTATACGAACATTAATCTCTTGTAACACATCGGTAAGACTAGGCATTATACCTTCCCCGAAGGTGTTGTCAACATACACAAGTGCTACCTCTCTCCACCCAAAAAGTTTGATTATTGCTTTAATGGCATGCACTTGAGATGAATCATCATACGTAGCACGAAAGAAGTATTGACTACGGATGGAAGCTAGGAAGGGACTTGTTGCAGAGTATGAAACAATTGGCACCTGAGATTTTTGTCCCATCTCAATCATGAATTGAGCCTGCATCGAAGTCCATGGCCCTAGAATCGCATTCACTTCCTTGTTTGTTATCAGATCAAGAGCTGTGACAAGGTCAATGCCAAGGAAGGTTATGTTATGCAAACATAAAAAAAAAAAGTCCTTGGAAGAGACATCATTAATGTAGACAAAAAAAGTGTGCATATGAACCGATTATCGATGACACACACACACACACACACACATATATATATATATATATATATATATATCTCAGTGCACGCAGTGTATAGTACAGAGATGGGAAGCTGCATACCTGCTGCTGCTGAAAGAACAACATCGTTTTTGGAGTCAACAATGGTGGTTACAAGCCTTGTCCTGGTTTCCGGACGAGAAGAGTAGAAATCAGAGAGAGACATGTTGATACAAAGCAAAGTCATGTCGGAGTTTTCCCTTCCGACATCGGTCACGATTCCCACTTTGACATCGGTTGCCGTATTCTGTGCTTCTCTGACTTGCATCAGGAAGACGATGATAAATATGAGAACAAAGTTGTTTCCACTCATTATTTTTTTTTTCTTCGTCTTGTTAGAACTTGCCGAGAAAGAATATGGAACTTGTGGTATGCTCTTTAGAGATGCTTTGAGAGTTTGGGAAGTAAAACATATCATGGGTATATTAAACTTCAAACAGATCAAGTTAGCAATACAGCAACAGTTGTGAAGGAGGATCCTTTGATTTTTCTTCCTCCGTTAATATGCCATTTTATATAAAAAAAAAAGGTGTGGCTCAAAGCTGTTTTTGCGGAAAAGCTTTGAAATATCTTCCCAAGAGAACAAACGATATTTTTGGCAACGATTTTCTGGATGGCTTGTCTCTACTCGGTACACAAAGTGAATATATTTCAGTTATCGTAGACTCTGACAATTATGCATAAGATACCAGACAGTCTTTCTAATTCTAACGTTTCTTAAAATTCTTAATTAGACAACGACGTGTAGATATTGAGCCAGAAGCAAGAAAAAAAAAAAAAAAAAAAGGAAACGCTGTCAACATGCTGGAAATTCACTGTTCAAAGTCCGGCAAATCCAAGAAACAGTTTGCAAAGCAAATCGAAACTTGTCATATACGAAAAATACTTGCGGATTAAGCAACGACTTTGTTGCTATATACGTAAAGCGGGAAATGGGCCTATTTCAACCTGAATTTTACGATTTTTATGTGACAACCTGTACACTGGAAGCTCACAGCGCTGCAGCGCATCGACCCTAACCCCTCCCATGTGAGCCCTTACGGACTCCCCCATGTAGGTTATTGATGCGCTTGGCGCTACTCGAACCCAAGACTTCACCTTTTAACAACCTTTCCACTGAACAAGCTGTCACCAATTGACCTACAGTCGTGCTTATTTCTTTCCGAACTTTGTAGTAGTGCGTAATTCATATTGAACTACATAAAAACTTAAAAAATGCTAGCTGGACTTTACTCATCGTGCCTTTTCATTCCCGAACTTTGTAGTAGTGCATATTCCACACTAAACTAAATAAAAGTATAAAAATACTGTATGAACTCTCAAAATCGTGCTTATATATATAAACCATCAAATTTGTTAGTCATCCATTATCGAAATGACGCCAGTTTCGATAAGTTTTCTAAAATAGAAATTTGAAAATACTACATAAACTTGCAAAATCGTGCTTATATATATATTAACCATCAAAGATGTTAGTCATCAGTTAATTTATCAAAACAACGTCATTTAGGATAAACTATATAAAACTAAAAAATTATGACAAGTATAAAATGAATATTTAAATTAATAATAATTAAGTTAAATTTTACAAAATAATTATTTGTAAATTTAAATTTAAACTGTAAATAATTATAGGTTGATTTGATAAATTAAAAAAAGAAAAAAAAATTTGATAACATTTACTTGATTAAAAACTTATATAAGTTAATGTTTACATAATTTATACAAGAAAGTTACTTTGGTCTAGAAATTATTATGTTCTTACTTGTCCACCAGTGTGAAAATTTGAACCTCCGAAAGAAAGTATTTTTAATTTTATAGAATTTTATCCAAAATGATGTTGTTTTCATAAATTAACTAATGAGTAATATCTTTTATGATTAATATTTATATATAAGCAGGATTTTCAAGGTTTATGTAGTATTTTTAATTTTATAAAATTGATCTAAAATGACATCATTTTTATAAACTAACAGATGACTGATACATTTGACGGTTTATATATATAAGAACGATTTTGAGAGTTCGTGTTGTATTTTTATACTTTTCTTTAGTTCAGTGTGAAATATGCACTATTATAAAGTTCATGAAGAAAAATGCATGATCTGTAAAGTTCATATAGTTTTTTAAGTTTTTGTTTAGTTATGGAATACGCACTACAACAAAATTTGGGAAGGAATAGGCACAATTGGTAAAGTTCAGCTTGAAATAGGCCATTTTCCCTACGTAAAACAAGAGAAAATGTTCTCGGACACCACATGCTTCTTCTAGAGTTTTTTATTTTTATTTTTATCTTTTGAGAAACAACTTCTTCTTCTCTAGAGTTGCAAAAATACTCAAACAGAGCTGAATTAGCCGCCGCCTCTTGTTGCTGCGTCGCTGGATAGCCATCAACAAGTCATTTTTGCAATTAGATTTTAAGAGACAGTTACAACTATGAGAGTCATACAATTTTAAAAAGCGAGCATAAAAGTGAGGGGAACATATAATAACAACCAAAAACAATTGGGTTTACTCGCTTCTGTTGACTTTAGAGGTAGAGAGATACTGTATTCAGCCTCGTCCACTTGGGCCACTGTTTGAACTGAGTTCGGTCGTTTATCAGTAACAAGATGACGAGATTCGTCGGTGGGTTATTTCAAAGACGTCTAATTATTAACGAGTAAAAGAACTGATTTATAAATGAGAGAGTTGGTTTACAAATAAGTAAACAACGAGATGAGACGACATCACTCGGTGCGTTAGCCGGAAAAGTACAAGTCGAAAAAGGTACAGAGTGTAAAACCCAAGTTTTAACCGTCTTGTAAGTCAGTGTTTGATTTCAGGATCTCCTTCTTGTTGTCTCCTCTCTCTCTTATATAGTGGTATTTCCTCATCTTAGATGACCTAGATCGGTATTTCTTCGAGGGCTTTTTGCTAATAGAATTCTTGGCCGGCCCGCTAACATGGACCTTTAGCCGACTGCTCTTAGTCGTTTAGTCATCGAGGCGACTAGACTCGAGCTAACCAAAGCGTCCCAAAACCGAATCAAGATGTGATCAGCTAGGGGGACTGATTCAAGTTGTTTTTAAATGGGCTGAGCCTATTATCTGATGGGTCTTGTGAGAACGAGTAACCTACTTCCTACAGCCACATCCTCCATTTCCTCGTCCATGACCCTTGTTTTTGTTGTTGGCTTAACCGGTCTTTGCTGAAGGATCCTTTTTCTAGAAGGTGTCACAAGATCTGATGAATTCGTCTCTTTCCTTCAGACCATTTGCTGTCACTAACCGCCTTGAAAGATACTACAACATCAGATTAAAACACACACATCACTCACTACCCCCTTTAGCTCCAATGACTCTTCTGTAGATCTGTACTCACCAGCGCATCAATACGTAGGTTTGAAGGCGTGAGGGATCCCACAAGATAAGATCCCACAAGGTACAATCAGGGCCGTGTCTGAGTTTTATGGGCCCCCACAAAATATATTTTTGGCCCTTCAATTATATCTTTTTTGAGAAAACACTAAGATGGTGTTATTCAATGATGTATTTTAAAAGAGTTTAAATTTAAACACAATTCACTGTTATGCAATTAATGATTCTAAATTATATTTTAAAATTCAGTGTTATTTAATTTATGATAAAATTTAGGTTTTAAAATCTGGTGTTATTCAATCTTTAAGGATTTTAAAATTTTGTGCAATATAAATGGATTTAAAATCATCATTAATGGAGTCTAATGAATAAATGACTAAACTCAAAATCCAGGGACTATTGTAGAGATTTTAGAATTCATCAACTTTAACAATCTTAAATTTAAAAATTTGATGGATTGTAAAATATCTAAAATTGATTTGAAATTACTAACTGAATAACACCCCGTAAAACGGTGTGGCACTAGTCGAACCCATGTCCCTTTTGTAGTATAGTGATGTACTAACACCAATAGAATTGACTGCACTTTGTTCAAAACTATTTGGCCCTTAAAAATATTAAATACATCAGGTCCCAAGCATATGCTTGGTCAGCCTATAGTCAAGCTAGGCGTTTCTGATTTTAGGACCAGTTTGAATGTATAGCGACCTCCATGAACCCTATTGGCACAACAGAACCTTCTCCAGCCATGTCTGAGATAACACCCGTTTTTGTCGTGAACCAAACTTGAGTTCCATGACCTTCCCATTTCGTTAAGAAGACCGATCTTACAGTAGGTACTGCTCAAACCGTTTGACCTCACAAAACTAACCGGAACATACTGCAACACTCATCACAAGTTAGCAAACTAATAGTGTGAGATTTTGCTTAATTTAAGCTGGCGAATATCATGTAATAATCTCTGATTTTGTCAGAAAATGTTTATATTAACCAGCGCATCATTCTATAGGCTTTGAAGGCGTAAGGATCCCACAAGATAAGAAAGTATATATTGTCCTCACGTGTTATATTGTCATGCGGACGATACCAATTTACTGAAATAAGCTATGTTTTTGTCTGAAACGTTTATATTTTCAAAAACTTTTGTCGCAACCCTCAAGGCAGAACAAGTTACAATGTAACACTCTAAACATTCACTGAAAACTAGGGAGTTAAAAAAAACTTTTAATCAGAGTTTAATGAAACTTAAGGGATATTAAATTAAAATACTCTTATGTTCTTCAGACATCAAATGTTTCAACCTTGACCTTGGAACAAAACTTGAGAACGGGAACTGTGTCTTCCCACATCAACTCTAACACAAAAGACTTACCAATCTCGAATACATCATTAGCTTCACAGAAAAGTTTCCATCCTTTCCCCAATCCTCTTCTTCTATTGTGTGGTCCGTCTTGAACCAGCTTCGTTAACCGCTGCACACCATGTTTGTCCATCAAGATTATCTCCTTGTACTTGTTAAGCTTGTTGATATTCGTGAAAGCTATAGGAAGAATCTGCAGAATGTTCGAAAGATCAGTCATAAACAGATAGCAAAAAACATAATCAGAAGTAAAATGTTACATGATCTTGCATGCTTACAAGTTTTGAGCTTGTGATGTTGTAACGTGTGAGAGTGATAGTGAGGAATCGGTTTCTCCTTGAAGATGACGAAGCTACCCATTTAGAACGCTTATTTTTCTTTCTACTCACTCTCTTTCTATTCAAGTGTTTGCTGATTAGTTCAGAACACTCTTCTTCAGGACAAACACAGAGCATTGGAGTGGTTATCCCATTTCCGACCAGATTGAACAAAACTAAGGCTCCTACTTTTCGTCTGTTATCAAGACAAAACCTTCTCCAGCCTCTTCTGATGTAATAAATTCCGCCCGACTCTTTAAATCTCAAACTCACAGTCCATGATTCTCCGTCATTGTTCACTAGTATTATTTCTTGGCATTGTCTGTTTAAAGCATGCGAACTCGTAGCTCCCACAGGAAGATGCTGAAAACACCCAAGTATACATCATGAACATGGTATATACGTATGACATAGAAGAAACAGAATGTAACTACTCACAAGTGTGTCTAGTCTTAGATTTGAAGTAGTGACTTCTGCTACAAAACAAAAGTCGAATGAGAAAGAATACATTGGCTCTGTCTCTGATTTTAAACTCTTCTTCCTCAAATCATTTCCTGAAACATAAGAAATAGTTTCCTTTTTTATGTCAATAACATATCAAGAATTGCTACGTTCTTATGGTGAACTTGGATTCAAGCTTACTAATCTTCTGCTGATTCTCATCATCATCATTATCAGTCTCGGCTTCTTCCTTGATGATGTTAGATAGTGTATACTGAATCTCACAACAACTAGGACCAAAAGGAGTGACATTAAACACCATATCTCCTTCGCGTTTGAAGATAATGATGTCGCCTATTCGAAGATCATGTGCTGTGGCGAAGTCTTTCCAGCCTCCGGTGAGTCTCCTCCCATCTATATTTACTTTCCAAGTTTTGTCTGAAGCGTCTGATCTTAATTTCACAGTTTTCTCTTTGGTTTTTCCTTGCATGTGCTTTGAGAAGAAGGCAACTGGTAATGTCTGCAAACCACAAAAAGGAAAGTTAGCCAGAACTGAGACAAAAAAAGAGACATAAACTTAGGAGAAACCGAGAGTGTACTAGGTGAGTGTTGAAACCAGGAAGAAGTGGCTGGAAAAAATGTGGATTGGTCGGAGACTCAAGTGTTGGATTCGCCATTTCAAACAATTCAAAGAGAAACAAAAAACTGAAGAGAGTTCTTTGCAACTTTTTTTCTTGGGGGAGGAAGAAAAAGAAAAGGTGTTTCCAATCACTTTATCGGAAAGGTTAGTGTTTCAGACCTTTCTGTCTAAGTTAAAGGAAATCGAGGCAACGTGAACGAATAGTAAAAGCAAAAACAGTATTAGTTTTTGTTGTTTTCTGTAGTAACGATTAAAAAGGCCAAAGAAATTCTTTTGGGTGATAATTCCAAAGTTATATATTGGGATTTCCAAGTAAACAATTTACTATGATCTTGTGGTTACGAAAAGGGATCAAAAATCTTATTATCAAGAGAAACACAAGTCAGGAAACAAACAACATAAAGAATATACATGTAACTAGGACGAGAGAGTGAGTTTTGTTTTCAGGGAAACACAACATAGAATCACGGATCTCTCACACACTATCATCCTTACTAGGCAAATATGGTCAAGACTTCCTGCTTGTTTCTATTCCTCCCTCGTAGCAGGATCAATTCCTGTGGAAGGGCTATCTGCAAAATATTCTGGATGCTTCACGTTCACACCATACTGCCAAACCGAGTTTATTCATTTGGTTAGCTTTCCACTTAGTAGTTAAGATGATATGGAAATAAAACTAACATATCTGTCTACACTAATGCAATACACACAATAGCATAACTACTTAGGCATGCTTCAAATTTATTTTTTATACTAATCATGTGATAGTAAATTAGCTCTGTATCTAGAGAAATGGTTAGGCGTCTCACTTGCAATTTTTCTAGAATCAAGAAGTATCTACGTATGCGGGTCAAAATCACTACTACAGGCATGAACTTATATACCTCACACAAAGCTTTTGAAAGGTCTTCCATTGTCAATATTAAGCGTTTATCCTGTTTCAAGAAGATTATTACTCATGACATGATCCAAACGATATAATACCAACACTATTTAATGCCGCACAATCCAAAAACGAAAGTGAGCCGGAGGCTACCTTTTGCTGTTTTTTGTCTTTCACAACTGGTGCTGGTCTAGCCTTGCAGTGACTGTTTAAAATTAAAAATTTGAATCACACAGAAGCTTACTTTTATGAGAAAATCTAGCTTATACAACTTTTCATCTCATTTACTCAGGTATAAAATTCTATGGAGAAGAGAACGCAAACTTACTGAAGGGCGTCGCTGGCGACATCTGCAACAAACTTCTGTGTAGCCACAGCAACTAGCCTTATTCTACAAACCAGTAGAGTAGACAAAACTATCAGTAAAATCTAGCAAGAATACATACAAAAAAAAGATTATGAAAGAAGATAAACCCCAACAACTCAAACTCCCAATGCTAAGCACTCAAGTTGAAATAATTAAACATGAACTCCCTCACTCCTCTATGCATACAATCTAATCTTCACATCTAATCAGAGTGACAATCTTTTCCACTGGTAATCAAACAAGAAATTCTTAATCATACCATTTACAGACAAGACTATCAGTAAAATCTAGCAAGAATACATACAGAAAAAAAGATTATGAAAGAAGATAAAACCCAACAGCTCAAACTCCCATTGCTAAAGCACTCAAGTTGAAAGAAACAAACATGAACTCCCTCATTCCTCTATCCATACAATCTAATCTTCACATATAATCAAAGTGACAATCTTTTCCTCTGGTAATCAAACAAGCAAAATCTTTAGTCATACCATTTCACAAGACAAAATAAACCCAACAACTCAAAATCACAATGCTAAGCACTTAAGTCCAAAACAAACATGAACTCTCTCATTCTTCTGTGCATACAATCTGATCTTCACATATAATCAAACAATCACAGTGTCAATCTTTTCCACTGGTAATTAAAACAGTAGTTCTTAATCATATCATCTCCATAAATCCAACATGAGGAGTATTATCTCACAGAAGTACTAAACCTCAACTAAAATGGCAAACCTAGAACATCTGAGATGATCCTATGACCTATCCAACACATTTCATCAACCTTCTGGTAAACCATTCTAAAACCCAACACCATAATATAAACTAATCTGCTCTTACTTGCATACAATCTGATGTTCACATATAATCAACGTGCAAATCTTTTCCCCTTAAGTAAGCCTCAACTATAAATGAAAAACCTAGAAACATCTAACTAAACTGCTAGTAAACCATTCTAAAACCCAACACCATCTGCTCTTAAGTTAATAAGCATCACATGAAACTGGAAGGAAGTACCTACAATCTTACGTCAGGGCATTGAAACCCACTCTTAGCCAAGTAGTGCTCCACTAGATCATCAGGAATCTGAAACCAAAATTAACAAATCCATAATTCAGTCAATACCCAGAAGGATTCAAACACTGGAGAGCCGGAAAGGGTTGAACTTTACAGTAGGAGTGTAATCCATGAGAGACGCAAGGAACTCTGTAAGAGCAGCATCGTCTTCTTGCTTCGCCTCGCCAGATTGTTGGCCGTGGTTCATCTCTCCCCACCAATGTGAGCAAGGTGTTGTTGACGTGATAAAAGCAGAGAATTGAGCTGAGACGAGGTAAAGGGATCGGAGAGACGACTACTGAGTCTCCGACTGAGTCAACTCGAAGCTATCAACACCGGTTGATTAAACAGTTGAGAAAGAAATGACTAATGGGCTTATATTATTAAATTAGGCCCATACGTTTGTTTAATAAAGGCTAATGGGTTATATGATTAAATTAGGGCCAATCTCTCCTTGATATCCCGGGGGATGAACTATTTGCTTCTTGACAACTAAAATTTTGTTGAATTATATTAAAATTAGTTAATTACAAATTTGAAGTCATACAGAACTACAGGAAAAGTATGAGCACGACTCATACAAGCCCATTATCCAAATAGAAGTATATTCTCCTTGATATATACAAAATAAATTTGACGACATGTTAATGTTATTGTCGAGAACGCCTTACTTGTTAACGGTCCACATAGAAGTATAGCTTCATTCATCTTGACACACCACGACTCGTGAAACACTTCCATAAAAGACAAGGGATAGCATCATGTTTCACGTCATTGACAATCTCAAATAAATTTCCTTTATTTTTAGATTTACATGGTGTTATTCACTTATGTATTTTAACAGAGTTTAAATCTAAATACAATCCTTTGTTATTCAAATGATGATTCTAAATTCTATTTTAAAATATAGTGTTATTCAGTGAATGATTTAAATTTAGTATTATTTTAAAGATTTTAAAAATTTTTGTATTTTGAATTGATTTCAAATCATAAGAAATGGATTCTCATGAATAACTAACTGAATTCAAAATCCAAGGCATACTGCAGAGATTATAAAATCTATCAACCTAATTTTTTTTTTAAATTTTAAATTTTGATATATTACAAAACATTAGTAATTGATTTAAAAACACTCATTGAATAACACCTCCTTATTTATTTTCAGTTTTTAAAGATTTGGTCATCTGGTGATAAATTAAACCAAGTTATACGGAAACATAGACCAAAAGAATGAAGGGAAACATTAAATGTTACAAATTAATTTTTTTTATTTTTATAATTGGTATAAAAATATTTTTTTATATATGTACTAAAAAGTATATTTGTCAAGATTTAGAAAACATAAGTCTAAAGTCACAAGAATGAAAGAATAAATAATTTGTAAGTCTCAATCCAATGCCAAATTGCTGATACATGATACATGATAGATATTATAAAACCAGAACAAATGCTTATACAAGGACAAATACATTTCGTATATATTTTCTGGGGATAAAACACACATAATTTAATTTGTTTCTAGGCAAACAATTGTTTTGCGGTTTGAAAGATGATGATGATACAAGCAAGCATTTTTGTTTTATTATGTTTTGTGATAACTCAATCATACGTTGGAAACGATCCATGAGGGAGGTGGGAAAAGCTGAGTATACTCAGGGATATCTCCAAGAAGTATAAAGCCTTGCTCACCAAATTCAAACACTTGATGTCCATAGTATCCAAGCACACCTTTGAAGATTATAGAGTTTGGTTTGAAACCAGGGATCTGATTAGGCCAGCAAGACAATGAGAAATGGTCGTCCAAGAACAAGACTCGACCACCAATATCTTCCATTTGAATCCAATCGTCTCTTCCTTCATTTAACTCCGATACTTCGAACCATCCTTTTTCCGCTAGAAGATGTGGTCTCCGATACTCTTCTAAGTTATTGGTGCACATCTCTACTAGTAGGAGTTTATTCTCAGCCTTGACAAACTGTTGAGCATATACAATAATATATACACGTCAAAACGTTAGAAAATCGATAAAAAAAAATCATAAGACTTTAGAGAAGTTTTGTTCCCCCCTTACCCAACGTTTTCTTGTCTTACGGCAAGGCCTTGACCGACGAAACGAATTCAACTCTAGAGTTGGCTTAACCACTTTCGTTACTCCAGCAGTATCAATGACATAAAATTGTCCGTTAAACGAAGTAATCCCATCTGGAAAAAGGACCAGATGTCGTCTCGATCTCGGTCCAACGATCCTCAAATGACCTATACATGCCAAGACCTTGGAAAGACAGCCTTCCCAAAACCATGAATTGATTGGTCTCTCCATCTAACCGCATAAAGCCGACAGGTTGTTCACATTTAGAACTACCAGGACCATCATATAGGTCGCACCAATAGGTGTAACAAGCGACATGTTCTTGAACTAGCTCAATAACTTGAGAGTTGAGCAAATCAATTGACAGACTTGGATATGAAACTCCTCGATGAGAGGAGGTTCTTCTATTGAGCAAAGATTGGAGAGCAAGTGCTCCGTTCTCCTCTTCTTGTAGTTTAAACAACCTACAAAGAAAAAAAATCATTTAAGATTTTTGAGATCTTTCTCAAGTAGGGCAAAGTTTTTTTTTTGTACACAATGTAGGGCAAAGTTAATTATCCGTTTTGAAGAATATTCCATATATTAAATATGATGGGACTTTGAGTAATTAGTTTTGAGAAAGAACTCTATGCATGGTATCAGATGCTCAAACACACACTGCCCACGAACAAGCAATTAGAGCAATCGAATGAGGTTTGATCGATTTAAACCAAAATCGGTCCAACAAGAAATTAGTCTGGCTAATCTAACAAAAGTTAATCTTATATTTGGATATTGTCTAAATTAATGATGGATATTCCACATCAAAAAAATGATGGACATTGAGTAATCGATAAGTGACATAGCCAATCCGTTCACTGTCACAAGTAAATATAGAAGGATGTGAGCTTCTAACACATCCATTGAAATTCAAGAACCAATTCAAAAGAAAAGAACCAGAACGACCAACATATAAATGGATCAAAACTGTTGTAAGAGAATTTTAATTACCAGAATCGGGGAGGATCGTGAGAAAGAGATGTGAGAAGATAAACACGGCTCCTCAAGATATGGCAATCATCTCCGCAACCACCAGCATCGGGGGGAAGAGGACATCTAAGTGATGGAATTGGTCGCAATGTTTGAAGACTACATGATCGCCACCATGAACATACTGATCGAAAATGGATCAGATCGAAAGGGTTGTCAATTCGCAGAGAGATCATGTGGATGATCTCCGGTGGTAACTCCGCCCAGCCTGACATTTCCTTCTTTAACTTGGGAATAGTAATGCAATTAGATACACGGATATAAAGACAACTTGTTTGACTTTCTCTATTTTTTTCTCCTGGGGTAGAAGAAATGTGTTGATTTTCTTGCTTGCCGTCCAGTCCAAGCTGTTTATAAGGTAGTAAAATAATTAACAAGCGGGACTCCACTATTCTCCTTCCAGATATAATACAATCTCACATAGCATATTCATTGTTATCTCATATATGTCATTTTGACTAACCAAAGTTTGCAACATTTTTGTTGTTATTGTTGTCACGTTTACATTCACTTGTACTTTGAAGTTGATCAAGTTATATATGCTGATCCATTAATGAATATTGTAAACTTGCTTTGCTCCATGGACTAAAATCTCACATCAGATTTTATGTCTAAATTTCATCATTTTGTAGGTGTGGATAACGCATCTCCTTTACATAATGACACAATTTTTATGGTCTAGTTTTACAGGATAAAAGTCAATTATAATTCGCAGCCAGAAGAGTTACAAAGGTAAAAGTCTTAGAAATGCAAAAATAATTACTTAAAAATGATATTCATGTTTGTTAATATGAGATCATTCGTTGGAGATTACCCAACCTGGGGGAGTTCGAAACAGATCAATATACCCAGGTATATCTATTAAAGATCTAACGCCATGCTCACTGAATTCAAACACAAGAATTCTTTCATCTGGAGGTAAGTCAGATGTTCCCCCCGTGTCCAAGAAGACTATAGAGTTGGCCCTAAACCCCGGAATCTCAGTAGCTAAGCACGAGAAGGGGCAATCATTGTCCAAAAACAACACGTGATCGTCTACATCTTCAACTTGATGCCATTCGTTTCTCTTTTCATCTAGTTTTGAGACTTCAAACCATATCTTGTCCTTGTCCTCGTCCAAAGCGTATCTTTTTTCTATGTACATCTCCACAAGAAGGAGCTTGTCCGCTGACTTTAAAAGCTGTTGATGACAGATAGAACAAACGAAAACATAAACATAATTTTAGAATCATGATCTCCGTAAATTTGTCTTTTAAGAAAAAAAAAACAAGTTAGTCTTCTTACCCAACGTCCCCCTATCTTTTCATCACAAGGCCTTGACTGCTGAAAGGTTGTCACTTCTAGTGTTGTTGGCTCTACCACTATTGTTCTCCCGGTGCGATTTATGGCATAGAACTTACCTTTATATGAAGCTTTTCCTTGGCGATATGGAACAATTTTTATCTCAAGCTCAGTCCAACACTCGTCGACTGACCTATACATGGCGAGACCCTCAAATGAGAGCTTCCCAAGAATAGCAAACTTGTTGTTATTTCCGTGTAAACCCATAGAGGCGATAGGTACTTCCCAGTCAATGATGGAGTCGAATCCTTCAATCCATTCACTGAAACAGGCCATGTGTTCTTGCGCTATCACGAAGATTTGACAGTCGAGCAAGTTAAGTGAAAGACGACTTGTATACAAGCATTCGTACTCAAAAAAGTTTCTTCCTAAGAACAAACTATATAGAACAATTTTTCCATTCTTGCTCTCGCCTAGTTTAAACAACCTGTCAGGAACAAATTATTATATAATAAATTAGTACCGTCAAGATTCATGAACCAATTCAAGATTGTTATTTTTCTTCTTACCAGTATTTGGGTGTAGGGCTGCTATTAGGAGACTTGATGAGGTAAACACGGCTGTTCAAGATATGGCAATCATCACCACAACCTCCTGAATCGAGGGGGAGAGGGCATTTAAGCGGTGTCTTGGGTCGGAATTTGAGGATACTAAAGGATCGCCAAGAGGAACAAACTGACCGAAAGTGGATCAGACTAAAAGGATTATCGATCTGCAAGGAGATCGAACTGATTATATCTGGTGGCAACTCCGACCAACCCGACATTTTCTTCGTTTTTCTTCTTCGCTTAACTTGAAAATAGTAACGCAGTAAAGTCCGGGAATATAAAGATTCATATTCTATAACTTATTTGACTTTCTCTATTTGTTTTCTTGGGTTGAGGACATGCGCTGGCTTTCTTGCTTGCCGTGCAGTCCAAGCCTGTATATAAGGGTTTTTTTTTTTAAGACCAGCTGTGAACCAGGTTAAATAATTCACAAGTGGGACACAGTATTCTCCTTCCAAATCAGATACAATCTCACATATATATTATACATACCACATGGTATCAATATTTTTATATGGAGAACAATTATTGTGAGATTGTATTGGAACTTTGAACTCAGAACAAGATCATTCTAGTGCCTATATTTTGGAAGAGAACCCGACATTACTTACTTTTTGGGTGAGGAACTTATCACTATTTCATCTCGTAGTTATATTTGGAACATCTAGTACAGCTTTAGGTCGGCTCCAATTCCATTTTTAAGTGAACTAATCAATTTCACTTCTTATATCTTTATACTACTTCATTTAATATTTCACTACTGGTACATAAACAACTCAACTCAGTTTCCACTGCATTAACAAAAAAAATACATACTATAAAATCATATGCAGTAGAACCTATATAAATTAATACTCGATAAATAGTAATCTCGATAAATTAATAAATTTCGTCGGTCTCAATTTGAACCCGTTCAAAATTTGACACAAATTGATAAAATAATAAGATAATATTTTTTAAAAAAATTCTAAGTAAATATATGGTCCCATTAAAATTATAAATTAATAATTATATATATACATATTTTATATAAGTAAGAAAATATCATTATATTGTTTGTTTTATATTCACAAGGGGATTCTCTCTATATTTTTTTATGAGATTTGGTAATTATGTGTAAAACCACATTTAGGTTCTATGAAATATATATTATATACACAAAATAATATAATAAATTGATATAAATGTCAATGTGTTTTTTTTTAAAAAAAATTATGTTTATGCACTAAAAATCAAATATTTTCTTATTTTAGAAAAAAATATTTTAAAATAAAAAAATATAATTAAGAAAACTTTTGTAAATTAATACTTCTATAAATTAATAAAATTTCAAAGTTCTATCATTATTAATTTATAGAGGTTTTAATGTATTTATGGCTGTACAAGGAGTTTGAGACGGACCATATAACATATTCTAGTCTTGGGAGATTACGAGCATAACCTCTTAGTTATAAAATATAGTTTGTTTACATATATATGTATATATATATAAAGTAAACTTGAGAAATTTTACAAATAAAAATATTTATTCGGTCAATTTGGTTCACCAAAAATGGAGAGAATTTATTTTCTACATAAATTCTTTGGTACATGATAAAAAGAAGAAGAATAAAGGCCATGTATCAATAATCAGACAAACAAAAAAGGTTATATTGATTGACATAAATGTGAAGAACAATAAATTTATAATACTTTTACTCCTAACCATGATCACCAATCAAAGCTTAAATCATTATCCAAAAATTATATAATAATACCCAAAAGAAATTGTCTATCATAAAAATGGGGATTTGTCAAATATGACTCAAAACTTGTTTTTAAATGTAAAAGTGTATCTCAATTCAAATCAAACGCAAAAGTACTTTAAAAGCTAGTGAAATTACAAACATCCCATTATGACCAAACAAAAAAAAAGATTGTAGTTTACTATTATAACCTTGCAAGTGAGAAGACTTACCTAAAAGTCTTCTCATGCTGTAGATCTTAAAAATAATTTATAAATTATATAAAAATATTTTGATTAGTACAAATTCATAATCATGTAACCATTGACATTTATAAATGATGTAAATTTAGATTTAATAACACTGTATAGTTTTCAAGATAGGTGAGTGAATGTAAATTAGTTATGATATTCTTTGGTTTAGGGGTTGGTAACTATGTTGTAGTATTGTATGTGTTTTAAGGGTTTAGATTGTGGAATCTTAACATTTTATTTTCAAAACTAAATTTTAATATATGTGTTTAGTTTTGTGTATATTAAACACTTTATAAGTTTCTTTTCAGTTTAATAAAAAAAATTGTATGTAATTTAGTTATATATTTGATTTTAGAGTTTTGGAAAAATAAAATTTTCGAAGATATAATGCACTAGAAGTTTATACCGAATTTATTTATATTTAAGTTTTTCATAATATGTTTACATACATAAATTCATATATTTTTTATTTATGTTATTATTTGTACTATTTCGGGGGTTTAAAGAGAAATTATAACCGCATCATGCATATTTTTTTGTTCAAATAATCAGAATTTAGATGAAAAGGCATTTGAAGTACTATCTCCAACTATTAAATTTTCTAAGTTTAACATTTTGATATGTGAGTATTTGGTGTCCTCGGTATTCATTCAGTGTGTTGAGCTCCAGTGATGACGACTACAGCTCCGGCGATGAAGTGATATGTTGTGTTTATGACATAATACACACATACTTTGCATATCACTTTTGTGCTTTCCTGGAGTACTCTTAGTGTGTTTTGAGTTATTTCAGGTGTAGAACGAGTTGGAATGCACCAGAAAGAGCATATGGAAGAAAGAATGCAAAAACCAGAGTTTTCCATCGCAGAGCACCCATCGCGGAGCAACCCCCTGCTTGCTCCCTCTATCGCGGAGCAAACCCCCCTTTGCTCCCGAAAATTATGGAAACTTCTAATTAATTTCGGGATTTGCCCTAATCTTTCTATTTTCTTCTCCCAGCCGCCTGTGGCCTTCAGACATATTCTATTCTATTTTTTTCTAGAGAGAGAACGCTTTTGGAGAGAGGAGAAACCTTAGAACTTTTGGATATTGTGATTTTGATACTTGTAAAGGGAGAAGATCATCTCTCTTGTTCTAGAGAAGAATCCTCTGAACCCTATTTATATTTATCTGCAATAATATTCATGTCTTCTTCATCTCTTGACTTTGTGTTCTCTGTTGTTATGGCTGAGTAGTCTATTTGTTAACCTAGGGTTCTAGGGTGTTGATCCATTGAACTAAACATAGATAAGCATCATTCTCGCCTTTGCTCTCCTCTGTTCTTACTGCTGATACTGATTTGATCACTTAGTATTTGATTCCAAGTTTAACCTTTTATCATTAATCCTGAATTAGGTTGCTAGATCTGTTGAGAGCAAGCATCACATCCCTGGTCAGCGAAAGTAGATATCAGGGTGTGATGTGAGCATATTAGGTCTGTTCTTAATGTTTGCTGTTGAGTATTGATCCACGCGAGAGCATAGGTACCATTGTTCCTCTGCGAAAGGAGCACACCTGCGAGAGCAGGGTGTTCTAGTTAAGAAATCTGAGTTCTAGGCTGCACTTAAAAAGCTTGAATAATTGTTTGGTTCAGCATGATTAACACCCAATGAGATACCCTAGGTTGACATCCTTATATCCTGAAATTAAAACCCATTTTAATTATTTGTTTCTCACTATTTGCTTCTTTACAAAAATTATCGTTTTAGCTTGAATTTGATCATATAAAAATAAAGTGTAATATTTGATCTCTGTAGATTCGATCCTAAAGTGCTACATCGACATACCATTCGATTGTGGTAGTGTGCACATTAGGTTAATTGGTGTGCGTTCGCACGTAATATCAATTTGGCGCCGTTGCCGGGGACCAATAATTTTACCTTTATTTTTTGGCAATTTTTCTAGTCTAAAACATCTAACTTGCTCTATCTTTTCTTTGCTTGCAGCTGATGTTCNTGGTAGTGTGCACATTAGGTTAATTGGTGTGCGTTCGCACGTAATATCAATTTGGCGCCGTTGCCGGGGACCAATAATTTTACCTTTATTTTTTGGCAATTTTTCTAGTCTAAAACATCTAACTTGCTCTATCTTTTCTTTGCTTGCAGCTGATGTTCCAGGTGTATGACCAGTAGAAATACTCGAAGCCACACCTCAAATCCATTAGTCACGCTCACCAACGAAGAGTTAGCAAGATTAGAAAGAACTAACAGACAACAACCGAGGCCGACTCACGCCACAATGGGCGATCACGGCGACCAGAATGATCTCACTGCAGCATTGGCTCTGATGCAACAGCAAATGCTCCAGATGCAGCAGACCATTGCCGCACAAGAAGCTGCTCGCAATCAGCAGAAGCAAGCCGCTCAGATCGGTGAGCGAAATCAGCCGCGGAACATCCCTGCTACACGTTCCGCGATTGCTCCACCACCCTGTGCCAGACAAGAATTTGAGATCAAGCCTGCTATGATCAATCTGGTGCAGAGGAAGATGTTCCATGGGCTCCCAGCTGAGATACCGATGGACCACATTAAGGCTTTTGAAGAGATCTGTAGCTTCACACGTGCTAATGGTGTACCTCCCGATTACATCAAGTTTATGCTCTTTCCGTTCTCACTAGCGGACAAGGCGTCATGATGGCTCAAGTCGTTCCCTACAGGCTCTCTCACTACATAGGAGCAGGTCAGATCAGCCTTCTTGGGACACTTCTACACCAAGTCTAAAACAGCAACCCTCAGGAAAAAGATCTCTTCATTCAGGCAGCATGCGAACGAGCCGTTCAACGATGCGTGGGAGCGCTTCAATGACTCTCTCAGGGAGTGCCCACACCACGGTTTTGAGAAGGATCATGTTCTGGGTATATTCT